TTCCCAGAACTCAAATCAGTAATTATAAGGTTTTGTTGCCTGGCAATAAATTCAGTAATTCCCTGACTTAAGACTGTTCTGCTTTTGAGAAGGATCTAAGCAAAAAGAGATACTGTGATTATAACATTGGGAAAAAGAAAAAAAAAAAAAAGAAAAAGAAAAAAGAGAAAACCAAAGAAAATTAAAAGGGAGCTTTTCTAATAAAACCTGTAAGACATGGATAAGACAGGTGCTTAAAAGTAGCAATTAGCATAGAACTGTTTATATTCTGTAAGGATGATGGACAAGAGCTTTTTTCCTTAAATTCATCTTAGAAAGTAGATATGCTGAACACAAAAAATACTGTATTCACTCAAAAGCCACAAAGACAGAGATGCTATTTACAGTTGCACACAGGGAGATAAAAGTTTCTGTCTCGGTATAATTACACATTGGGTTGAGTATCAGGGTGGAGAAATACATTTTAGAGTCTAATTTGACATACTAAAACTAACATCAACAGAACTGTTTCCTTTTTTTTGCATTTAGTATTGATACCTAGTTTATAGGGGAGAAGTTACTTCACTGTTACAAGTTAAACTGTTACTATTTCATGTGAAAACAATAGGAAGCACTCACAGAATGGAAATCCACACATGCTTTAACTACTCATTGAAGTTTTATTACAGCTTTAAAGAGTGCAAAGTCATTAATAACACATCTCTGATACCTACATACACAGACAACAACTGGACAACAAACCTACAAGACAATGACTGGCTACAAATTTAGAACTTGATTCTTCAAATATTAAAAAGAGTAGTGCTGTTTGTCTGTTTCAGTGATCCTCTCCATGTGAATCAATCAATTATGTGACTGGAGTGGCGGAAGCCTATAAGCTATTTTTGAAAGTAAGGCTTACTATATCCATTTAGAATCTATCTATAATAAAGCATATTCCTATATGTATTCTATGTAATCTTCCAAAGATCTTAAAACACATTAGTCCTTAACTGTGAAATGTGAAAAGGTAACATGATTAGCATGCAGTGATTGAAATTACCCTGAACATCCCTGTTGTTACAAAAAGATTGAAGCAGTAGTTTTGGTAATTACCTTATCTAGATGTGCATGCGTTGTCTTTACAAGCTCAAGCTTTTTCTGCAAACTGAAAATAAGTAAAGTTAAATGTTACATTTGAGTAGGATGGACAAAATGTCATTATTTCAAAGTTTAGATAACTCTTCAGTATTGCAGAGCAAAACTAAAATATTAAAGATAGACCATAAGTTCAGAAAAAGCATCAACTGTAAATTCAATTTTCATCTGAAAATAGAGAAGTTTACACTGGTTTGACCTAGTTAATGATTTGTGTTAGAATGTTAGTTTTTCTAAAATATAAACACAATTAGATCACAGCATCATTCACAGTATCTTTGGGGTTTTAAATATTTACACTTCAAAAAGTACAACACTCTTGATAATCCTTTGTGTAAGAACAAAAGGCAAACTATACCATTAAAGCAAGAAAGGAAACATAAATCAGTAGAATTTGACACTGTCCTGCATGACATCCTTGTCTCTAAATTGAAGAGACATGGATTTGATGGATGGACCACTCATTGGACAAGGAAGTAGCTGGATGGTCACACTCAAGAGCTGTGGTCAACAGCTGAATGTCCAAGTGGAGACCAGTGACAAGTGGCGTTCCTCAGGGGTCGGTGTTGGGACCGGCCCTGTTTAACATCTTTGTCGGCAACATGGACAGTGGCATTGAGTGAACCCTCAGCAAGTTCACCAACAACACCAACCTGTGTGGTGTGGTTGACACACTGGAGGGAAGGGATGGTATCCAGAGGGACGCTGACAGTCTTGAGAGGTGGGCCTCTAAGAACCTCATGAAGTTCAACAAGGCCAAAGGCAAGGTCCTGCACATGGGTCAGGGCAATCCCAAGCACAAACACCAGCTGGGCAATGATAAGTGGACTGAGAGCAGCCCTGCAGAGAAGGACTTGAGGGGCATCAGTGGATGGAAAAATGACTACAAGCCAACCATACAGACCAGAAAGCCAACTGTATCCTGGGCTGCATCAAGAGACATGTGGCCAGTAGGTCAAGGGAGGTGATTCTCCCCCTCTGCTCCACTCTCATGAGAGCCCACCTGCAGTACTGTGTTCAGCTCTGGGGCCCCCAACATAAGAAGGACATGGACCTGCTCAAGTGGGTCCAGAGGAGGCCACGAAGATGATCAGGGGGCTGGAGCACCTCCCCTGTGAGGACAGGCTGAGAGAGTTGGGGTTGTTGAGCCTGGAGAAGAGAAGGCTCCAGGAGGAGCTTATAGCAGTCTTCCAAAGGGGGACTACAGGAAAGATGGGGAGGGACTCTTTTATCAGGGAGTGTAGTGATAGGACAAGAAGTAACAGTTTTAAACTGAAAGAGGGTAGATTTAGTTTAGGTATTGGGAAGAAATTATTTTCTGTGAGTGGTGAGACACTGGCACAGGTTGCCCAGAGAGGCTGTGGCTGCCCCCTCCCTGGCAGTGTTCAAGGCCAGGCTGGACGGGGCTTTGAGCAACCTGGTCTACTGGAAGGTGTCCCTGCCCGTGGCAGAGGGGTTGGAACTAGATGATCTTTAAGGTCCCTTCCAACCCAAACCATTTTGTGATTCTATGAATTTGTGCATTTATTAGACACTGATTTTTAAAAAAAACCTTTAGAATAATTATTTAAAAAGAAAAAAATGTACAAAGCTGTTGCTTGTGACAATGAAATCTGTAACACTTAAGATCAATACTATATACCACATTCCATTTCAATTTGGTGTACAGCTCATTGCTACTGCACAGCATATGCCCGCTAATTTAAAACTGCTACTCTCTACTCCTAAATGAACTTGGGGACTTGTTTTGTAAACTAAGTTTCAGGGTCTTACTACAGGGTTTTATTGCAACTTTAGATAACACATCTACACCTGTCTTTAATCAAGATGGTGGAAGGTTTCTTCAAACACTGTTTCAGCACCAGAGAACATTCCCTCTGTCTTATGTCCAACACGCAGAAAAAAAGAATATTGCAGCAAAAGTCACTATGATGACAGCTTTCTGATACTTCAGAGAAGACTGCCCATAAAAATGTCTTCTCCTGCTTTGAGGACTGTAAATTTTAAGAAGATTTAATGGTGAACAAAATGTTACTGAGTGCTACTGAGGTAACATTTCATACTCCTACTTCTTCCATCATCTTTGCTTTGCTGTCTTCTTCACATAAGGCATTCCACAGAATTCAGAACTCTTCATGTGTTTCCTGTCACTTCAGGGCATTTATAGACTACAAGGTTCTACTAGTACAGTCACATGGATCAGATATTGTATCTGTCTGCTGTGCTGGCAGAAATCATTACTGTAGTATGCAGTTAAAAGAGCAATTTATTAGTGTACTGGTGTGTATTTGTGCTCAAATGGTGCTGGATGCAAAAAGATTTTCTGCTAGAGATGATAGGGCCACCACTAATATTTCACATAGAGATTTCCGTATCTATGAAAACTACGAAGGCCTCCAGTTCACTCCAATGTGAAGTGAGAAAAATTTTGAAAACCTTTAATAGAACCAGGAAAATGTACAAATCCCTACTACTAGCATTAAAGCAAAACTTGTATTTTAGGGGAAAAAGCCAAGCAATCATGCACACCCTAGCTCATTTAACTTTATAAGGTCAAAAAGCTCTTGCTGCATACATTTCAAGTGGAAAAAAATTCTCAGTCTCAGATTACCACTTATAAAGTGAGAAATTTAAATAACTGACTAGTCTAGAATTTTTAACAGAAACTCAGGTACAAGTTTGAGACAGGATCTGAGTATGTCTATTTCATGTATGATTTATACAATGGGCATTATTTCTAATAAAAGACAGTGAAATTATCACCATACCTTATGCCACATAAACTGTCAAAAGCATGGAGGTCCAAGACACTGGAGAGATCAACTCTAAACAGGGGGAAGAAAGACAGCTTTGTATTTTTTTATATTTAAATATTATGTATACTTAAATAATTTTTTTAAAAGGTTCACTGAAGCTTATGTTCATTTTCCTGCCTATCATACTAATGTCATCAATCCTTAGACTAATTTTTGCTGGTGGTTGGTATTGTCTCCTACAAAGAAACGCAGTGTTTATTTTCACAGTAATAATGTTTAGTGCAGAAACGTAATTATAAATATATAGTAAAATACATGGTATTTCCAAGAAAGATGATAAAAATTCCTCATACTGGATGCCGAATAACAACTGGTTTTCCATAAAATGGGAAAGTGAACGTTGAAATTCTTCCCTGCAATTATTCTGCGTCCTTAATAGACTCTCTCAACACACACAGAAATCCCTGGAATATATATAGCTTATACTGACACACTGTTAGCAAACAAAAATGAAATACAAAAAGAAATGCTAATATGAATAATTTCAGCTCTAATGTTTGAAACAGACAAAAAAGCAATATGGAACAGTCAGCACTGATCATATTTACTGGTAAGAACAGCTATCTATAAACTTGCAGAAGCAACTTTTTTTCTAAAAAGCAACAAGGAGTACAAGTTTTATTGCTCATAGCAACTGATAGCTTTTGTCCCGGTTCAGCTAGGATAGGGTTAAGTTTCTCCCACAGAGATGGGGAAGGGATCTCCAGGCAGGTTATTCATACCATGTTGATGTCAGGTCCGGTGCAGCAGCACAGGAATTTTTTTATCCTTTGTGGCTTCGGCCGCAGGGAGCACAGGGGTGTCCAGAACCATTGCGGTATTTCTCTGTATATCTTTTGTCTTGTTTACTGTTATCACTGTTTATTGTTGTTATCATTGCTATTGTTGTTGTTCAGATTGTCTATTATTACACTATGGTATTCAATTTCTTCTTATTTTAACCCGGGGTTTGTGCCCTATTTGTGTCCGAGGATGGGGGAGGGACAACGGCAACGTGGTCTCCAGTCCCGGCAGGGCTTAAACCAACACAGTCTCTTTTTTTGGCGCCCAACGTGGGGCACAAGAGGGCTGAAATAAAATCAAAAAGGGACAGACCCTGATCAGCCTGTGTTAGAGCAATCTGTTGGGTGTAATTTTTCTTCTGTTTCTATTTGTACTTTTTGATAAGAGAATGTTTGCAATGCTGGCCCACTTGCTTGCGTGGTGGGGCTGGATTAATCCTTATATCCAGTATATGATGACAGTGCTGGTGTTTGTTATTGGTGGAAAATGTGTAAAGGGTCTCTTTTTGCTGTACTGGCTCATGACTACTTATAATGTGTTTGTATCTCTCTGTGTGGGGGAGCTGGCAGGTACCTATTTGCTGCCTGGGCTTTTGTTAGGTGTCTCACCCCCTCTGTGGGTGAGCCAAGGGAAGAGATCCTCTCGGGTTTTCCGTTTCAATTATCCTTGGAGCCTGCAGGCCAGTGTGCTTGTGGCACAATGCTTTCTGAATGCCTGCCTGATTTTGGTTTTGGCCATGCGGCACTTCTCTAACAACAGCAGTGCCCGGAAACCTGCCCCGAGGTCAGATAACAGTGAGTGGCAAGGGGTGTGGGAAAAGATGGGCAAAAGCCTGAGTCAGTGGGCACCACCAATGCTTTGGAATTTCACTCCCAAACAAATGCAGAGACCTGACAAGACGATGCAGTGCTTAGAAAGGGTGTGTTACCAAGCGGCAAAACCCAGGAGACACAAATTGCTGCAATGTGTTGGGGACTTGCCCATGCCTACCGTGCCATCTTTAATACCACTCACTGCCCTCAAGGGGTAGAAAGGGCTGCAGAATCTGAAAATGAGCTTACTGGTACAGCAGCTGGGCCGGGGGTACAGGCAGAGCCAGCATCAGTTGCCTCCACCAGCACAGCAGCTGACCCAGAGAGCCAGCCAGTGCCGGTATCAGTCGCCCTGATACAGAAAACCAAATATACCAGAAAGTCAGCTCGCTAAGTGGGGGATGGGGATGAGCCAGGCCCAGCACAGGAACAGGAGGAAGGGCCAGTGATCAACTGATCTCCATCCCTGACTGAGTTGCAAGATATGCAGAGAGATTGCGGCTGCCTGGGAGGAGAGCAGATTTGCACCTGGCTGCTCCGATGCTGGGACAATGGAGCCAGTGCTTTCGAAATGGAGGGGAGAGAGACCAAGCAGATGGGATCTTTGGCCAAGGATGCTGGCATTGATAGGGAAATAGGGAAACAGACCCAAACCCTCAGCCTTTGGAAGCGACTCCTGCTCAGTGTAAGGGAGAGGCACCCCTACAAGGATGGTATGTCAGCCAGGCAAATGGACCAGCATTGGGAAAGGCATCCAGAACCTCAGGCTGTGTTTGAGATGATCTGTGGTGATCTGAATGATGAGCAGTCACCCATGGACCCAGATCAGGCCCCTTGCACACACCTGATGTGGCGAAAGTTCCTGAAGAGCGCACCAGAAGCACACTCGAAAGCATTGGCAATAGTGTCCTGGTGGACAGACACCCAGACTCTAACAGTGGATGGAGTGGTTGGCAAGCTCAGGCAATATGAGGGAAATCTCCCCTCATCTCAACATCCCTGGGTCTCGGCTGTGGAGGAACTGTCTCAGAGGCTCCAGAAAGCGAAGAGGACATGTCCTACAATCCACCTGCACGGGCTGATGTCTCAGCCATTAGAAGTAAACGTTTCCCCACCCAAGAGAAAGGCAGCAGTAGAAACACACCAAGAGGCACCCTGTGGTTTTTATCTATGCGACCATGGAGAAAACATGAGGAGGTGGGATGGACAGCCCACTGCTGCCCTAGCTGCACGAGTAGAGCAACTGAAAGGGAAGACCATCACAAAAGGGGAGTCCTCCAAGAAAAGCGCAGCTCCAGTGTCCAGTCAGAAATCCCCCAGGCAGAATAGAATGGTGAACGTTATGTCTGACACTCTTGAGGGGACCAGTAAATCATTCTTACAAGAAGTGAGTGATGATGAGCAGGATTAGAGGGGCCCTGCCTCCAGCCAGGTGGAGGAAAGGGATAATCTGATTTACTGGACAGTGCGGATCCGATGGCCTGGCACATCAGACCCACAAGAGTATAAGGTTTTGGTGGACACTGGCGCACAGTGCACCCTGATGCCATCGAGCTACAGTGGGGCTGAATCCATCTGCATCTCCGGAGTGACAGGGGGATCCCAACAGCTGACCCTACTGGAAGCTGAAGTGAGACTGACTGGGAAGGACTGGCATAAGCACCCCACTGTGACTGGCCCAGATGCCCCCTGCATCCTGGGCATAGACTATCTCAGGAGAGGGTACTTCAAAGACCCAAAAGGGTACCGGTGGGCTTTTGGTGTAGCTGCCCTGGAGGAGGTTGAACACTTGTCCACCTTACTCGGCCTCTCAGAGGATCCCTCAGTGGTGGGGTGGCTTAAGGTTGAGGAGCAGTGAGTGCCGATTGCTACCAGGACGGTGCACCGGCGGCAGTACCGCACCAACCGAGATTCCCTGGTCCCCATCCATCAGCTGATCCGTCAACTAGAAAGCCAGAAGGTGGTCAGCAAAACTCACTCACCCTCCAACAGCCCTGTATGGCCAGTGAGAAAGCCTAATGGTGAATGGAGGCTAACTGTGGACTACTATGGCCTGAATGAAGCTACACCAGCAGTGAGTGCTGCAGTGCCGGACATGCTCGAGCTCCAGTATGAACTGGAGTCAAAGACAGCCAAGTGGTACGCCACGACTGACATTGCTAACACGTTCTTCTCCATTCTGATAGTGCCAGAGTGCAGGCCACAGTTTGCGTTCGCTTGGAGAGGCATCCAGTACACCTGGAATCGATTTCCCCAGGGGTGGAACCACAGCTCCACCATTTGCCATGGACTGGTCCACACTGCACTGGAGAAACGTGGGGCTCCAGACACCTGCAGTATATTGATGACATCATTGTATGGAGGAATACAGCTGAGGAAGTCTTTGAGAAAGGGAAGAAGATAAATTAAATCCTCCTGAAGGCCAGCTTTGCCATTAAGCAAAAGAAAGTTAAGGGACCTGCAAGGGAAATTCAATTTCTAGGAATAAAATTGCAAGATGGGTGTCGCCACATCCCAATGGAGATGATAAACAAGATAACAGCCATGGCCCCACCAACCTCTAAAAAAGAGACTCAGTCTTTCCTGGGCGCTGTGGGGTTCTGGAGGATGCACATCCCGAACTACAGCCTGGTTGTGAGCCCTCTCTACCACGTAACCCGTAAGAAGAACGATTTTGAATGGGGCCCTGAGCAACAACAATCCTTTGAACAGATTAAGCAGGAGATTGCCCAAGCAGTAGCCCTCGGGCCAGTCCGGGAAGGGCAGGAGATTAAGAACATGCTTTACACTGCAGCCGGGGAGAATGGCCCTACCTGGAGCCTCTGGCAGAAAGCACCTGGGGAGACCCGAGGCCGACCTCTAGTCTTTTGGAGCCGGGGATACAAAGGCTCTGAAGCTAATTACACACCAACTGAGAAGGAGATACTGGCAGCGTACGAAGGAGTTCGGGCTGCCTCAGAAGTGGTCGGCACTGAAACACAGCTCCTCCTGGCACCCCGACTGCCGGTACTGGGGTGGATGTTCAAAGGAAAAGCCTCCTCCACGCATCATGCAACTGATGCCACGTGGAGTAAATGGGTTGTGTTGATAACACAACGGGCTCGAATAGGGAACCCCAGACACCCAGGGATACTAGAGGTGATCACTAACTGGCCATAGAGGAAAGATTCCGGGATGTCACCAGAACAGGAGGTGACACGTGCTAAGGAGGCCCCACCATATAACAAGCTGCCGGATGAGGAGAAGCGATATGCCCTGTGCACTGATGGGTCTTGTCGCATTGTGGGAAAACATCAACGGTGGAAGGCTGCTGTGTGGAGTCCCACACAACGGGTCACTGAAGCTGCTGAGGCACAGGGTGAATCAAGCCAGTTTGCATAGGTGAAAGCCATCCAGCTTGCTTTGGATATTGCTGAGCGGGAAAAGTGGCCAAGGCTCTAGCTCTACACCCACACATGGGCACTGGCGAATACCCTGTGGAAATGGCTGCAGCAATGGAAGCAGAACAACTGGCAACGTAAGGGTAAAACCATCTGGGCTGCTGAGGTGTGGCAGGACATTGCAACCCATGTGGAAAACCTCGTTGTGAAGGTGTGCCATGTGGATGCCCATGTACCCAAGAGTCGGGCCACTGATGAACATCGACACAACCAGCAGGCAGACCAAGCTGCTAAGATCAGAGTGGTTCAGGTGGACTTGGACTGGCAGCGCAAAGGTGAACTGCTCATAGCCCGGTGGGCCCATGAGACCTGGGGCCACCAAGGTAGGGATGCAACATAAAGGTGGGCTTGAGATCGAGGGGTGGACCTCACCATTGACACCATTGCAGAGATCATCCACGGATGTGAGACGTGTGCTGCAATCAAACATGCCAAGCGGGTGAAGCCCCAGTGAAATGGAGAGCGATGGCTGAAATAGAGCTATGGAGAGGCCTGGCAGATCGACTACATCACACTGCCACACACCCGCCACAGGAAGCGCCACGTGCTCACAATGGTGGAAGTAACCACTTGGTGACTGGAAACTTACCCAGAGCCCCACGCCACTGCCCGGAACACCATCCTGGGCCTTGAAACCCAAGTCCTGTGGCAACACGGCACCCCAGAGAGAATTGAGTCAGATAACGGGACCCACTTCGAAAACAACCTCATAAATGCCTGAGCAGAAGAACACGGCAGCGAGTGGGTCTACCATATCCCCTACCACACACCAGCCTCTGGGAAGATCGAGCGCTACAATGGACTGTTAAAAACCACATTGAAAGCACTGGGAGGTGGCACCTTCAAAGACTGGGACATGCATCTAGCAAAGGCCACCTGGCTAGTCAACACAAGAGGATCTGCCAGTCGAGCTGGCCCGGCTCAGTCGAGACCTCCACGTGCTGTAGATGGGGATAAAGTCCCTGCGGTGCGCATGAGGAATATATTGGGAAAAATGGTCTGGTTTACTCCTGCACCAGGCAAAGGTAAAGACAAACCCATCCACGGGATTGCTTTTGCTCAAGGACCTGGGTGCACCTGGTGGGTGATGCAGGACAATGGAGAGATCCGATGTGTACCACAGAGGGACTTGATTCTGGGTGCGAACATGCCATAAAATATGCTGTGCCTTTGTAAATTGTTGTTTGTTACTGTTAACTGCTAAATTGCAGCTGGACATGACGTAGATGCTATAGAATAAAGGGGTGGATTCTGTCCTGGTTCAGCTAGGATAAGGTCAGGTTTCCCCAGCAGAGAGAGAGGGGGAAGTGATCTCCAGCCGGGTTATTCATACCATGCTGGCGTCAGGTCCAGGGGAGGAACCTTTTTACCGGGTTCTTCGGGCGGGCTTGGTGGTGGGAACCTTTCTTTCCGTAAACCAGCTAGCGGTATTTCTCTGTATATCTTTTGTCTTGTTCACTGTTATTGCTCTTTTTTATTGTTGCCATTGATACTGTTGTTGTTCAGATTGTTCTATCACTCTGTTGTATTAAATTTCTTCTTATTTTAGCCCAGGTCTGTGCCTATCTTCCAGCCTGACCAGCGTGGGTGGGGGAGGGGCAACGGTAACGTGCTCTCCGGTCCCAGCAGGACTTAAACCTGCACACCTCCCCATCCTGTGGCAAGGTAAAATTTCCCATTCTTCATAATATAAAATAAATTACAGAATTTTAAAAATATCGTGTTCCCAAAAGTTTACTAAGCAGGAGGAAAGGGAAATGCTACAATTGTATCTCTGCAACTCTATCCCTTTGCAGTATTTGTTGTTCTTTTGTCTTTCAATCACTCATACTGCACTCATACTGTACATATATTAACATGAAGAAATATCACACTGCATAGATGCAATGAAAACTCTAATACAGAGGTCTCAAAAATAAAAGATCTTGGATATTGTGAAATTAACTGTAAGTAAACAACCAAGATTTACATTCAGAATAAAATCCTGATTAAATTTAATCTGAGTCATTAGAGCATTCTCAACTCCATTTACAGACAAACGCCAGTAACATTATTGTAATATAACTTCATGAAACACTGCTTAATAATACTGAATTTACAGAGTAAGACAAATTAACAAAAGTCTAAATTTTGCAGCAGAAACTAGACTATTTACACATTAAAACTCTTCACATATAAAAAAACGGATAAACGTTAAAAGCTTGATTGTAAGAATTGCTTACAAGTTTATTCAATATTTCCTGTTTTGAACATTAGTCCCTAAATGACAATAAACCCATTGAAGAAAATAACTTCATGTAAGACACACACACTGAGCTAAGAGAAATGTTTTCTGAGGATCAATAGAAGAGCAAAAAATGAATGAATGTAAAACACTTTTCAGTAAGAGAATTTCTGATCCCCTCTATAATATTGTTTATTCTTGTTCTAAGCATTCTTCTTATAAGAATTCAACAGAATTTGCAAGTTAACCAGAAAGGAGTGTGAAGCTGTCAAAACTACTTGAACAAAGTAACAAGGACAGTATGAAAATAATCTTTATAAACTAACAGAATAGTCACTAAAGAGAATGCTTTTCTGAGTACAGCTGTTCAACAGCAGAATATAAAACTTCAGTGGCCAGACTGCAGACAAAATTTCAAATAAGGTAAAGCCAATAACAACATTAACAAGATTAACATTTTTAGAAATATAAACTGAGCTGATCTTTAGATTGAAGTCAGACAAGCACCTGCCTTCAAAATCCTGGGTTACAAAATACAGGCACTTGGTAGTCCTATCTGATCAGCCAACAACAGCAAATATTCTTCTCTATACTTTCCAACTATATTTGACAATAATTTTTAAAAGTCAATTATACTTTATTATGTCTATTATTTTCCCTTCAAAAATTGCCTAAAACAGAAACCTATATTATATGAACATTTATCATAATATAGTCAAATAACTGATGTAACAGTACACAAATCAGTCCTAGAAGACTGAAAGATATGGCAGCTCTGCTAACGTCCCTGGGAATACTATATCCATTTAATATCTTATTAAAGAAGAAATCTAAGTCAGAATTTCAACGAAAAATAGCAAGCACAATGCAATTACTTTTCTTTCTTATCTTTATCTTATCTTGCACAGCTTTTAAAGTCTTTTTGTAGTAGCAACTTATTTGCAGCAGCCTTCGTAAATGAGAAAAACCTTTCTGCTGACACAACAGAAAGAAAACATCATAGCGCACATGATCAATGATTAGCTCAGAGACAACCTGGCTTTTCAAGTTGCTCTATAGTTACAAGATCTGGTTAACAGGATAAGAGAAACTGAATTCCTACCTATATCACTCCCTTAAAAATCTGCTACATTTTTGGAATATTCTGAAGCCAATTAAACTATGTCTGTATTAGCATTTTTCAGGAACTTTCCAAATGTTATTACTCCATAAATGGGAACATGACTAAAATGCAATTTTAATAATTAAAAGCCATATTCATAATAAACTTAGAGCAAAATGCATATTTTGTGGAAAAAAAAAATAATGTCCAAGCTATTATAAAATCCATTTCTCATGTAAATAAGAAATACTTACGGTTATATTGCAAAGTCCGATAACTGATAAGCTCTGTAAATTAAGCTACATCTTAACACTGATTTTTAAAAAATGTTATACATTAGAGTGTAGGATGTGAACAGTAACAAAGTACGATACAAAAGAAAAATGCGTTTTACTTATTTTTAAAATAATCTCTTACCTAGATGCTTAGTCATAAAATAAATATTGAGTTAAATATTTCTAACTCAATGGCTTTCATTCACACAAACTGATCTAACAGCACACTTAAATCTGTCACAAAATAAGCAGGATCTGGTACCTAGTAATAGTGGCCATTTAATACCTTGATCTTTGTGTCTCCACGATTTTAACAAGTCCATTTATTGACCTAAAATAAAATAGAAAAATCAGAAGTTAGATGAAAATGCAACTGGTACTGCTTGAACAAGTTAACCATGGAAAGCAGAATGAGAAACAGCACAACACTAACCCCTAACTCTGTTACCAACTTCTTGAACAAACCAACAGACATCCCAACAAATGTTTTTTGTAACTTTTTCATCTGCTAAGTAAGGGTTGTGGAACTTCACAAGTTTGACAACAAAACTATCAGTGAGAATAGCATTTTACTATCCAAGACTCTTTAGGATACACTCTGCTGAGTCTAAGCATTTTTACTTTTGGAATTCAAAGTACTAATAAAGTTGTAAAGTATTTAAAAATTTTAATGTTTAATTTTAGTTATCATAGTATTCATAGAAAAAGATGGGATATGTTTTAGATCATTAATTTGATTCAGCCCATTGCTGCTTCTGCATCCATGACAACTACTTGGGACTTCCTCCAGATATCTTTGCATTTGTTCGTGAACTCATATCTACTAGCAGATTTTTTTTTTCTCTGATGCTAATTCTGAAAAATGGGAAGAGCTGCCCAGAAACACAAAAGTGTGTACACTTAAGACAAAGACCTGTCTTTAGTAAGTAACATTAAATCTTACCCAGATAAACAAACTGCTAAGATTGTAGACTGCTAAGATTGTAGAAGCACATAAAAGTATTGAAATGCCTTCAGAAAGGGGCAGCATCTTTTCCCTTCTAACAATTTGCGTCGATGTAATTATGAGATCTAATTTCTGTATTAACAGCACAACCTTTGAGCCAGTAGAGTGTTAGTTATGACAAAACTTTCATACCTGACAGATGTTCTGACTTTATTCAATTCTTCCCCTGAAACCAAATCTGTTTTATTGATTATTATAAGATCAGCTAATGCAACTTGCCTATATATTAAGGAAATAAAAAAGAAATACATGAGCAAACAATACTTTTACTGTAAGGCGTAAACACCATCTCTCCCATAGCACAACAAAAATAGTATGAGCATTGTTAGTACAAAAAGGCAAGTATTAATCAAACTAGAACATCATGGAGTACGACTAAAGTACTAGTTAGTGGCTTCTCCTTGAGGTGCTCTTCTGTGCTGTAAGAGAAGTCTAACAACCTACAAAGGCTTGCTAGTTTTGGGTTTGTCTTTTAACAAATGTCATCTAATCCACAGTGCTTGGTGATTTATGAACTTCACAAGCCCCTATCTCTCTTGCATGTAGTCTTTCTAAAGTCATACTTGAAATCTCTTTGCTATATGAAGTCTTCTATTGTTACAATTATCACTGTGGCTCCACATCTAGCAAAAATATTCCTCTATCTCTGGTTCTACTTCGAGCTTCTGACAGATCCTAGCCCACAATTCTTTATTCCCCCAACACAGCTGGTTGCCTTTCACTTACATTAAATCCCATCCCTCTTAAAATATATATTAGAAGAGTCTGATCTTGTCAAAAGACCAAATGGAGCATGAAGCAGTTTTTCTATTTTCTACCTCATTACACCAATCTATCTTTGTTTAAAAGCAAAGGAGGAGAAAAAAGCCGTAGAAAAAGAAGCCATTTGTAATGAACTATACAGTGCAGTTCCTAACTGTGATATATAAAATTAATTTATACATTCATACCGAGATGCTTCATTGACAAGACCTTCTGGCTTCTCCTCTGTCAAGTGCTAGACAAAAATTAAAACAATTGGATTAAGCATATTCAAATGACATTTAAATTCATTTGCAATTAAAGAAAGTCAAAACCAATTCAGCCGAGGTATGTTTTTCAAAAAGACACTGAATTTGGTGTCTAGAATTTTTCTGTAAAATGATGATGAAAAAGCACATTTATGCATTCAGTATTAGAGCAGCTTATAATTTCTTTTATAAAAAGTCTTCTCATTTAATTAGGTTTATGAATAGAATGCAAAAGAGTTGGAAAATTGTTTTATATTTAACTACTTTTCAGATTTATGATGAAGTTAAAAAAGTCACCATACAGTAAGCATAGAAAAACATATCTGAAAAAATGAAAGTACAGTAATTTTACTAATGAGCGTGATGTCACCTAACTGTTGAAGATGGGTTAGGCTTGCAGTACAGGATTTCAAACACATAATTGCATACTCCTTTTGTCTGAAGGATATGACAAACAGTACTTTTATAGTAAAAATTGCTAACTTTTTCTGTGTTTGTACAAATAAATCACTACTTGGCAAGTCTGCCCAGCATCAGTGTTTACAGCCCCTTCAGGTTGTAAATAGGCAGAAGAGTCAGTCAGCACTGACAAAAGCAGAAGCTTCTAGTCACGCTGAAAGTTTATTATCATCCACAGTTCTGTACTTCACATGTCTGCCCAAGTTCATGTCCTCACAGAGTAAGTGATGAAAGGCAATGCCTGCATCTCAAGCAGCAGCATGAAGTTTAGCAACATAAAGCCTTACTTGATTTAGGCAGAGCAACAGGCTACACTGAAGCAGCAAAGGTTCATCTACAAGTTATTTTCTGCCCACTCTGCCATGGAGGCAGAGATCTCCAGGGGAAAAGCATCGCCGCAGACCCCTGGAAGCAGTAAAATTTTAAACTGATGCTGTAGTATTAGTAAGAGCTCACCACTTAGGCCTTACATCCACAAAGATTAGAGAGTAGTATGCATTCCTTCATCACCAATATTATTTTAAAGACACAGGGATACCAAATGAAAGTGAATTCAATTGTCATGGGAAATATATAAATTAAAAAACCCTAGAAAACTATTTTTTCTTCAAATAGAATTATAAGGCATTATTTGACTTGAAAAACAAGAATAGATTACTTCATACGGTCAGTCTGTCACCTTAACAAAAAAAAAAACAAACAAACAAACAACAAAAAAAAAAAAAACAAAAACTATTTCTTGATTGTGAACAACCCAAGCAGAGCGTAACAAGAGGACGACTGGGAAGGAACCTCTCGTCTGACCTTTTCTTTGTAATCCTCTGTGTATTGACTTTATTGAATTGAATGTTGTCAGATTTGTTGCCCTGAAAACAATGCCAGTAGTCCAGATGTCAAGTCCTCAAAGTAGAGAGCTGTCACTTCAAGTTGTCCAACTGTTTGCTCTTGATTTTAAAAAATGAGTATTTCAGATTGCTGGGTGACAAATCCATTAGAGTGATAACCCATGATATCAATTACCACTTCGGTTTCAATTTGGCTGACTGGTCACAGGGTATAATTTGTCATCTTTACTTGTGATGGGTTGGTTCTTTGAAGCATGACATGCTTAAATTGCTGCCTATTATCTCAATGTCATTACCAATATGGCTTTCAAAATTCTTTGAAGCAAAAGCAGCTGCTGAGGTCAAGCCTTGCAACCAGAGGAACTGCACAAGTTAGCATGTGATTTATACAAAGTAAAAAGTTGTTTACTTGGCATATAACTGAGAAAGTCTGAAATTTCTATATTCTGAGTGGATGTCAGGATCACTGATTAAATAATGTAAGAGTTTTCAGTGACCTGTCACAGATAATAATGGATAGAAAAGCTGAATGTTTCAAAACATTTCGGTGGTTTTTCTGACATTGAAGTTTAAATATTTAAAATTTTATTTTTTAGACAATAATTCAGTGCTGGTGGGTGCAACACAGTTATATTTTATTCAAGCTAACAAATCAGCACCGTGTGAACAGAAAAACATTTGTGCAAGTAATAAAACATATCTGAATTAGTATGAGGGCACTCATCTGAAAAGGGCGCCTGACTTAAGACATGCTGTGGTTTCTTTTGGTAGCTGAGCTGATTTAAAAGTCCATTCCTGCATAAAAGGGCAAACCAACTCTCAGTCACTTCCCCTCATTCTGCTAACTCCTCCACAAAAGTCCCTGCAAAACACGACGGCTTAACTTGCCAAACTGGCATGCTATGGGATTAGATGAGTTCTGTCCTGGTGCACCACAACTTGACAAGAGGCTAGGACTGTGTCCTTCTGGTAAATCAGCTATTAGACCAGCTCAGCTGAAACAAGAAATCCAAATAGTCCAAACAAAATCAAATCTTGCAAAGGGGGAATCACTTCCTTATTTTTTTAACCATTATTCTTTAGTTTTCTCAGCTTTTTACAGCTCTGTAAAATACAGAGATATTAAAAACACTTCCTCAGCATGATGGGATCTCTATACCATGGAGGTATCCTTTCTTACGGTGACTCTTACTTTGAATCATTCAAAATCAATACCTAATAATTTAGGAAGTGACTACTTTGATTAAGTTGAAAATAATTGCATTTATTACTAGGTATTACCAAAAAAAAGTTGAACTATTTGATTTAATCAATTTCTGTTGTTACCCAAACTCAGTGTTGTACAGGTCTGTTCTTACTTTATGCTTTATACAGATTACTCTACTACCTGCTCTTTTTGTCTGCTTCCATATAATGAAGCAATCTTTTAATCTGAAATGGTACCTAAACACCTTTCTCATCTCTCCTCACTACAGTTGCCATTACATTAGCAACTTTCCGAAGTGAACCCTAACTCACTTGTTACTGCACTACTATCAAAGGTCTGTTCTTACTCCTCTCCTTTCAAGCAACAAATGACGCTGCAAGACAAATTTCTCCACTGTTTTTACATTAATCCAAATGCCGATTTGGAATACAACCATGATTACTGAGTGAAGTGATAGAACTAGAAGGAATCATCAGCAACCTGACAACTCTTAGGAGGTATGCTGCTGTGTTGGTAAGAATCTTAATTCTATGAGTATCAGTACTCTCTTTTTCCCCATTCAAAGTATAGTACTGATGTACCACAGCAACTGAAATCATCCTTTGTAAGAATCAGAACTACTGTAAAACTTTAATTCATCTGCATGTACATTGTCGAAATAGCTGTTCTAAAGCTGCAGTTTTAAACCATGTAACAAATCCAGTAACTTACCTGCAATCCATTCTTTGCATCAACAACAGATACAATACCTAAAAGATAACATTAAAATGGAATAGAATTGTGCTGAAAGCAGAGAACAATTTAACAATTTATAAACTTCCTATACAACTATGACAGTAACAATACCATCACATATACAACTGGTTGTAATACTTCCAATGCTGAACATTAGACTTGTCACCTAATTATTTCCTTACTTGTTACTTCTATCTGTGGTAAAAAAAAATCTCCCAAACCATGTAAGAGAGATTCTCACAAGAAAGATGCTTCTCCTCCTTCTTCCAGAAGAGCAATTTGGCAGAGGTATGCTTTTACAGGTTATCAAAACAAATTAAGAGGACTGAGGTATGCAGTTACTCTAATTGTAAGTGACTAGGAATCTGCAGTTCTCTGGCAGAAACTTAGGAAGCTGTTTCCTGTTCAACTGAATGTTTCCTTGGCTAGGTGGGTATTTCACAGACTGACCAAAGTGTTCACAGGATTTTTTAAAGATAAAAAAGTAAGGTTTCTTCCTACATTAAAAAAAAAAAATCAACATCCAACATGCTCTTTAACTACATATAGTGATGATTTGTATTACAGTAAATTCAGAATTTTACTGGAACACAGTAAATACTAGAGCTAACAAGAGTAAGGCAAAGAAGGCAGAAAACATGACAAGACAGTCCAGATGTTGACAAGTTAAGAGTTTAGAAAAAAAGAAATCATTTAGGAAACACTGCATTGGAAAAACAAATAATGAGAGCTGTAATATTACTCCTAAATAATGTCTTACAGCATCTAACTACTGAGGTTTTTTTCCCCCCTTACACCACAATCAAGATCTCTCCATATCTGATCCCTTAGCAGAGCATTACACAACTTTTGTTGGATTCAGCAAACTGAAACAGCTCAGCAAGTAGATAAATAAGAATCAGAATAAGCCAGTGGATTTCTGTGGTCAAATCTGGAGATATGAGAAATAAGATCATGCATTTGAAACATCTTCTGAAACTTTTCCTTAAATTATTAGAATATATTACACTAAATTCAGATATGGAATAGCAATACAGTGGATAATAAATTCACATGTCTTACCATCAAGATAGATATCACTTTCCAGTTCAGAATCAACCCAGAACATGGAGGCCACAGCTCCTAAGAAGTGCAGTACATTTAGTTGCAAAATTGACATTTCCAGTAAACTATCAATATTCAGACATTTCATAAAAAACTCTATTTGTAGTGCTGTAGTTGAAACTCCTCTCTGTCAGACTCAGGAAGCATCATAGATGCCAAATACCCAACTGCACATTCAATCTAACAACAGCTATCAAACTGTGTGCACATCAACAGCTATGACTACAAAAAGCTTTCAAAATCTCACAATTCCAGATGGATGTAAGTGGTCTAAATTACCTTTACTCAATAATATTAGCTACCTGTCATTGCTATACTCCAAGGCTCCCTCATTTCTAAAGAATTCTGTACTCCCCCTTCACCTTTCAGCCAGCCACTGTTTCTAGGTCATGATGCATACATACACACACACAAAAAAAAAAAAAAAAAAAAAAAAACAAGAGAAAGAAGTTAAAGGAAAATGAATTGGGACATGAGAGAAATCAGCTTCCTCCTAGGGACCTTCTCTTCTTCACTGGATTCTATAAACTCTCCTATGCAGTTTCTCACATCATAAATCAACAGAATGAAGTCAAGAATAACTGGATATAGAAAAGAATGTTTTCCTTAATTATCTCTGGTCTACACAGGAAAGCTTCTGGCTTTAGATAATTTTAAGAAAGATTAAAAAATATCTACTGCAGGTTCAGATTTACAAAGATACTGTACTGAAGGGAAGTTTACAAAAGTAAATCGTGATTGATCAATCTGGGAAGGCCACACCTAGCCTTCTGTGAAAAACTGATTGTATTTGTGGACAAGGGGGAAAAGACTACATGCATTTTACATCATGTCTAGCAAATTTCTGAACACTGTATTCGAAGATATTCTAGTAACTAAGCTGGGACATTACCAGTCTGAATGGAAAGACAACTAGGTAAAACTGGTTGATTAGTTAAGCTCTAAAGGCTGCAGTTAATGTGTCATACCCTCCTATCTGGAAGCTGACAGTGAGTAGGGTATTGTGGGGGTCTATCCTAGGACCTATCCTGTTCAACATCTCCACCAGGAATCCAGGAGGCGATGGAAAACATGTCCATCAAGTTTGCAGAGAATTCAGAAGGAACAGTTGATTTATCCAAGGCCAGAACTATCTTTCAAAGGGACCTGGTCAAGCAGGAAGGAATGGCCAATGAGAACCTGATGAAATTCAGCAAGGAAAACTGCTGAGTAATAATACACTTAAGAACAGAGTCTCTGGCAATAACAGACTAGGCACAGACTGGCTGGGGAGCAGGTCTGCAGAGGAGGTCCTATGGATCCTGGTAGGCAGAAAGCTGATCAATCAGCATGTTGGGATCAGAGAAGGCCAAAAGCACCCTAGACTGTTGGAACAGAAGCACAGCCAAAGGAAGCTATTCTCCTCTATTTAGCACTTTCAAGTCCACATCTAGCTAGCACTTCCAGCATAGGGATCACTCATACAGGAAAGTCAGCACAGGATCACCAAGACAGTTTAGGCTCGAGCACAGGCCCCACAAGGAGAGGCGGGGGAACTGCATTTGTTCAGCCTGGAGAAGGGACACCTCCTGTCGAACCTAGCAGCAACCTCCCTAGTACCTACAGGTGAGTCACTGAGAAGACTGATCAAGGCCATGGCAGAAGGATGTGAAACAACTGTAGCAAGTTGAAGTAAGCAAGGTTCACATGTATCATAAATTTTTTTTTCACCATTAAAAGACAGGCACAAAATAGGTTGCCTGGAGAAGCTATGTCATGTTTACCCTCAGAGAACAGAGATGTATGACTGGATATTCCAGAGAACCCAGTCTTGTCTTATAGCTGACCCTGCTTTGGGCAGGAGCCTGGACTAAAGACCTCCTAACATCCCTTCCAAGCTGAACTATTCTGATTTTATCATTCTAGTATTTTTCACTAGGCCTCAGTATCCACTGAATTTTCATCAGATGAGGTGCTTCTGGAATAATAAAACATGTAGTACTCTCTCTTCTTCATAGAGCCATTTGTATTCTTCAGGATGCAAAACCGAACATACTAAATTGGTAAGTCTTGATCAAAAAGAATCAGCAAGTATTTGGACAACTGGGAACACATCCTATCAAGGACATGGAATCCGTGGCCTGATGCCTGTGTATTACACATGGCCTGGGAGTATGCTACTCCTGTTGTCTGTTAACATAGCCCTGTAAAACAGATTCTTGCAACTGTAGGATGTGCTGTAGGATGTTTTGTAAAAATATCATAATTTGTTATGAAACAAACCAATTTAAAATATATCAGTGCCACAATATGAAGGACAGGAGGAGCTGACAGCAACGACAGCAGCTGGTTTTTTTCAATTATCAGATCCTTAGTTACTGTCTGGCTAAGACTATCAAGCACATCAAAAGAAAAAAAATCAGTAACTAAACTCATTCGAACACCTAAAACTGTCCACCTGAAGTGACAAGATGCAGTCCTCCAAATATGACTCTGTGTCAACACCAAATACCTGCCAGTTGTTCACAGTGCTTACTCATTAAAGATCTAGCAAGGGCCACAACATCTAATGGTCTGGTACCTATTGATTTTTTTCCGAAGAGCTTAATAGTTTTCCAATTTGACTCAAACAGAATTTGTGTGTAACAGAGGCCAAATCAATGTCCTTTCTTTTAACGAAAATTACCCTACCATGACAACTATTTAGCTTTGAGCTGGAGTGTCAGTCTCCTAAATGGAAAACTATTGAATTTCTGATAAGAATTTCCTTCACTCTCGATCAACAACACATTTTTAATTGAGTTGGTTCTGAAAAAATTGGTTTAGATAGCTATTACTAACATGAGCTCAAGTTTAAACACCTTTTTATAATAAGTATCACTAAAGAGCACACCAGGAATTTTGTAAGATCTATTACTGTTCTGTACCTACCGGAAGACTGTAGTAGTCTGTTTCACAGCATATGACTTCACAGAGTGTAAGGCCTATCACAACCAATGTAACAATACATCAGATGCTAATAACTTATACTTTAGAAGGAGCAGTGTAGAACAGCAAAAGCCTATCGAAAACTATCAGTTTCAGAGTGTGCTTCTCTTTTCTAAGCCCTGTGGTCTTCACTTGATAGAAATATATTTTAGCTGGATTTCTGTCCATATACAGCAAATGCAGAAAAAAACAAAACACCCAACCAAACAACCCCGACCATAACCCTACTTCTGCAAGTTATCCAATTCAGTATTAGTCTATATAAAAAAAAGCATGTGCCAGACAACTCGCCACTTTGTATTACATTTTGCACAGTGAACTGACTGGTGAACAAATAAGCACTTCATAAAAACACAGCAATTATCATGGTTATGAAAGCCATAATGTAAACTACCTGGATCTGCCAAACCAGTTGTTTCTAACAATATATAGTCAAATTTTCCTCTTCTTTGCATCAGGTTCTCAATAGCCTTCACACCACTGTCCCTGTTAAGAAGAAACAATTAAATCCAAGAACAGAGAAACCAAGCTAAACACGTATAAACATGTATCTTCTGATGCTAAACACAGTGTCAGCACCATCAAAGCAAAGTCCTGAGTCAGGACTTACAGTCAACAATGAAAATTTAATCACCAAGCTGCTGTTCTACTACTAGGCAAATTGTAGTTTTCTGTTTCATTTTCTGAAAATAGTATTTGCCTACTTCTGACAGGCATAATAAAGTCAATTAAAATGAAGATTTATTTTCAAACACTGAAAATCCCTGTAAAGGACAGTAGGGCTGTAGAAATATGTAACTATTTGGTGTGACAAGTGAGATTACAAAAAGAAAGGTGGTGTGTGGAGGGGGTGGGGGAATGGAACCATGTTCACCTGTCTTTCCATCTCACCTATAGCAAAATTAAGATCTGTCATTGACTTAAATCTCAGCTGATGAAGTCAGTCTGAACCAGAAATGTATGGCATTTTACATAAGAAACAAATGTATATAAACCAATGCCACAGCATCAATGGCAGCAATCCTTACATACCAGCAGAACACAATGCAATAGGGTTTTCAACTTACTATACCAATTTCAGGCATAGTTTATCCAGATTTTCAGGACAAACATGCCACCATTTTTATCACAAACTTAGCACAAACAATCCATCTTCAAACAAGCAGGGTAAAAACATGTCAAAGAAACACATACACTCCTGCTTTTTAACGTGTCCATCAGCTTATAATTTGTAATTAGGTCACCAGAAGGTTCTCCCTCCACCCTCTGTGATGTACACAACATTCAAGTACTAACCAACATACAGAGAAAGAGGCAAAAAGTATTTAATTAGGAAACCTGAGTTCTAGTTCCAGCCTCCCCAAATCTTTAGCTCTCTATATGAAAGCACATAACACTAATAGAAGAGGGAAAGATCCCTATCCTGCAACACCCAAATGGTGTACAAGCTGTTTGGTTTTTTTTTCTGAAAGACACCAAATCCAGTATGGCAGTAAAAAGAAATAAACATCTGTCTTCCAAATTCCAATTCTTATTTTATCTGACAAAAGAAGACTCAATCCATACTACCATCAGTTTTAAGAAGCAAACCCTGGATGTCTTCTTTCCTCAATTCCCTCAAAGCCCATTGTTAAGAACTTGTACAACTTCCTTACTTTACTGAACAGCACAGGCAGCCATTTCTGAGCTCCAGCCATTCTTCATAGAGTTCTCCCCCTTGACTGATTGACAGGGATTTCTCCAAGGCACTTCCTGGAAATATAAGTAGTACTGTAATTTTGTTCAACAAACTTGCATGACATCGCCTGCAGAAGAGGTATGAAATATTCAAACTGGTATACATTTTTACTCCTGGGAGTATTTTTTTCTTCTGAGACCATGTTTCTGATATATTCTTCAGAAATCAGTATTTTCTATTTCTGAGAAATTTAAAAGCCAAAGTCAAGTTGGTTCTACAAAACCCAAAACCCAGAGGATGAAAGTAAAGCATTAAGTGCCACAAACTTCGCTAAAAGAAAGGAAAGTCACCTCTACTTCCATATCACATAAAGGCTCTGTCTATACATCTTATTTTAGGTTCCATGACTAGAAAAGTGGCACGCATCTCTGCTGATGAAAACAAACAAATGAAAAACGACACCAACACCACAGTGCAAACTGTAAACAACACTACAGTACAGATACAGAATTATAGCCATAAGTTAAAAATCCTGAGAAGGAAAGTCAAGTTCAAATAACCACAAACACCAAGCACACATCTCCCCATTTTCTTGGTCTAGGATAATTTGTGATCTGTAAGTGACTGAGGGGAAAGAAAAGAAAATTTGATCTACTAACAAGTTATTTTAATGTCCATTTCCTTGAAAACGAGTAGGACAAATGGAAGTACAGCACTTCCAAGAGGGTGATACATTCATTTACTTGACTCTGAGGGACTGAATACATGTACAGAACAGATTAATGTATAGCATTATTTTATGAACAACAGCCAAAAGAGTTTCTGCCCTTCTGAAGACTACAAGCTATGTCCATAATTTCAATAATGGATTTTAAACTACCATCTTCTTGAACTCCAAAAACTTCACATATTTGTCATTTTATGGCTAAAAAAATAATTCTGCGGGTTTACATACCTTCTCCAAACTCATTAAGAATGACTGCTATCCTTTTATTATGCTGCTCTGTCAGTATGTAATTTAGAAGAGTTGTTTTCCCAGCTCCTAGAACACAGGCCATATTTCTATTAAAATGTTAAAAAAAGCTTAAATTTTCAAATTAAAAACTAAATATTGCTGTGCACGTACACATTTCCATCAAATCTGATCACTCTGGGACACGAGTTTTCATCCTGTATCATGCATTCTACTGAAACACTGTAAAAATAAATTTGTAGAGATATTTGATACCATAGGACTATCTGCACATTAAATGCCACCTTTAAAACACACATAATGTTCCATTCACTAAATGTCAGTGCTTGATAAATATACAAGTCCCCTATCAGCTGAGCCGTCTTTTCCTGGAAAACTGATTTACATGTTTCTCTTAACAAAAGGTGATCTTATTCTTCTTCCTCACACCACCTTTTCTGACCAGTTCTGTTGGCATCAGTAACCACTGATACCGTAACTGCCATTAGACAAAGCACTGTTAGGCAAGGTGTTCACAACCTTTGTAATACCACATTACTGTCAGTTTTATCCCATGCAGAAGATCACAACTAGGGAAATTTAGTAAAGCAACCTTCCTTCCCTGCCCTAAGGATTATTTGTGCTAAAGCACAAAGTTAAAACTTTTAGAACAGCGTTGGCAATCCTAAATCTGAACTGATCTTTACCATACATGACTATATTTGAAGCTCCCAATAACTGTGCTGATTTAAGAGGGAAGCCAAACCTCACATCCATAACATGGCAATTCGGTCTGCATTTAACTGAAGCCAGTACGTTACACTATCCTGACATTAAGTGGCAAAAAGCGATGTGTCAAACCTGTCCAGAACAAATCAGACCCTGAAAAGGGGCTAGTAAAAGTAGCAACGGGAGCCTGTACAGTCGTTCAAAACCCTTCCGCAAACCTCAGTGGACCCGCGCTCACCGGAGCGGCGTGAGGACACTGCACCGACAGCAGGGCGAAGCGCGAAGGGCTCCTTCCCGCGCGGCCGCCGGGGTCCCGCTCGCTGACAGGAGCCTGCCATC